TTGCATGGGGAAGTTTTGGTAATTAACCCAACTCTAGTGTACCTTCAAGACAAGTTGGGCAGACATCCTCCTCTTCCTGCAGTGATGGGACCATAGGTTCAATTGACTTTTTAAGATCGTCAGATATTTCATCCTCTAATGCCCCCAGCTCAATATTTGCACTGCTCTTCTCGTCACACTCAATGTCCTTTACTTTGACCTCCAAGTTGCTGCCAGAGTTAACATCCCCAACATACTCAGTGTTGTTCGCTGGCAAAACATTATCTGTCTTGTTGCACGTGCTTTCTCTATTCCTTGTCGAGGTAGGTGGGTGGGCAGCATATGATTCGTAAGGTATTGGTGCAGGTGGAGGATGATAGGTGTCGGGGACTGTAGTATCTAAATTTGTGTCAACCAAGAGCCCAGTAGGCTGAGTGGAGACAAGGGCATGGTGAGCTGATAAGGGCTCGCGTTCTTCAGATGCTGGATACTGGGACTGTGTGATTCCCAATAGAAATAAAATGATGTCAGCGAAATAACACAGAATTCTATTATTGACAATAATCATTTGAAATATTACAGAAAAATTAAGGTCAGCACTCCATATGTGTTTCGGTCACTAGTGTAACTACTTATAAATAAAATGATGTTCTTCCATACCAACTTAGCTGCCCGGAACTGGTCTTCAACCCATTAGGAGTCCCTTCAGGGATGATGGATAATTTAAAACGATAAATACTATCCCTGAAACTCAATCTAGTGGAACCCTAAAATAACAAGCAAGACCCCCTTGAGATTTGTATTTACCTAACAAATGCCTCTTGAACGATCAATTTGTATGACATTAGCAATCCCAGAGGGGTACTTCAAATTTTGAAGTATAGTATAACTTGCAATCAATGTTATAAAAAATCTCCACCTAGCCCCAACTAAACCCTGCATGGGCGGCAGGTGGTCCTTGCTCACCTTGCCGATTTTCTCACTTAGATGTAATGGTGCTGGTCATAATTCTTGCAGTCTACCATCCCACTATGTCCACACCACAATGAATGAAATGATAAAAGAGGCATTAAGAAGACCATGCATGGCATGACACAATCTTTCCAAAGCAAAGTAGACAAAGATTTCCACTAGGGCAAACACTACATTTCCTCTATATCTTAAATGACAGAACTTTCCCATTAGGTCCAAAACTCTGCATCCAAATGTGGAATTTTAGAGAAAAACAAATAGTAAGCAGACCAACAGAATACTAATTGTCCCGCGTGAGTTATTCATTATACTTGAACACTTTAATTCACCAGCAGTTCAATGTGGTACTCTGGAAATTTCAATGCAATTTATCGGAACAGAAGGAAGGAATCTAATTTTTCTATTCCTGAATCTTAGCTTAATTAATTAACTAGAGTATGCTCCAAAGCACAAGCAACGATAGAGCCTCCACTATGGTATCAATGGAAAAAACAGCTCATTGTCAATAAATTTTAAGTTAAGAAAATGGCCACAGAAAGAGCAGGCTGGCTTGGTCTATATTGTTCCCAAAACTTCAGCCAAGTCGCTGCTAGATTTGGTATGGACAGTCTATGGCTCTATGCAGAAAATGTTATTGCAGAAACTCAGAGCATAGTTTGCCAGCAAAATAGGTAATGGACCTGGAACCAACATACATTCCTTTAGAACTTCACAACATGAGCCAACTTATTAACTTCCAGAATATGATTGTTAATTATTCACCGTGATGACTCATGTTGTACTCACAGGCAGGTGACAAATGTCTAAGTGACTTGATAAAATGTTCAAGTGAAACATAATCTGAAAAAACACAATAGTTGTGAATGCCTGTTCTTCAACTAGTAATTCTCTTAGGGAATTAAACTAACCATATTGTATGGAAATACCACAGTAATCTATCAAAAAAGCAGCTACTTCTATCCAGCATTAAAAGGTTAGGGATATATTTCTATTAAATTTCTAATATTTAAAAATCAAAGGATCTTTCCAGATTACTACACCAATGAAAATTAAGAACACAACATTTTATCCTCGAAATCACAGACAAGCTAGGATAAGATTAGGCAATTCAGAACCATCAACAGATGAGATAAGATATTTGACTTACATGAAAGAAGGTGGGTGAGCTATTAGGTTCAGTGCCCTTCGACGCACAGCAACAACAGCCTCCCATCTTTATTTAGTGATATTTCTTATTCGCCAGAAGCCACCTGGTGCTTGGCTCATTGTTCTCTTCTCTGCATAATACAACAGTGGGCAGAGAGGGGCACATGGAGCAGCAACATTAAGGAATCACTTTACCAAGCCTATACAGTTATATCACAGGTTGATCATAATTAAACAAAGAGACAGTCATCAGTTATTCAGGATGAAAAATTTTGTCAGGTGCAGCACGCAACTACCTCTTCCAGAAGAACGGGATAGGAACTGATATGAAATTGACCATGAATCCACACCCATATCATTCAACTTATTTTAAACTGGAAAATTGGTTTAATTTTTTTTTAATGCACGCATACCAACTCAATCAGCATGAGGCGTTTATAACATAGGGAAACTGAGTTTTTCAAGCATGGGATATACCACCTTGTCTAATAACTGAGTTAGGAAACTGAAAGTGGAGATCGCCATATCAGTTGGTGTAGGACCAACTTGCTTCATTTGCACTCACCAGGGAAAAAGGGAAAAAAGAAGGAAGAAGAAAATAACAATGTTTTATCATTAGTTCGGATATGATGATTCAATTCTCTTGTGATTGCGTCTCATGTTTGACAATATTCTAGAAATTTGATTATTTCTCGATTTCTTCATTTTTAACCGAAATCAAGAAGCCATTAGAGCCCAGGTGGACTCGCAGTTAGAACAGATTCGGATAGTACATCAGAACAAAGTTTTGCCCCCATAAACAACATCTTCCAATTAGTACTTAACAAAAACACACAGCTAGCTCAATTCTAGAGATCAGCCATGTCTTACCTTCAATAACTGAATTGAAAGTGCCGCATAGATTGTTTAATTGAATTGAAGATGTCATGTACGCACCTCCACATTAATGAATTCAATCAGAATACAATTGTTTAAACTGTTATAGTTCTTCAGCTAAAGTACACTTACAGTCACTAATAACTCAGGAAAGAAAAGAAAAAAAGAAAAAAGAGGAAGATGAAGAACGAAAACATCCCCAAAATGCTTTTTATTTGATAGTAACATAAGGGTAAAATAGAAAACGTGAGGGCACCGAGCGTGAGCTAAGAACATATGGACAAGTTCCACCGATTAACAAATGAAAAAATATTATAAAATATTAAAATAAAGGGGGAAAAACAGAAGAGTATACCAACAGCAGCTAACTCAATCAGATAATCAAAATCCACACTCACAAAATTATCTACAGATTCATTCACTCCATCAGGTATCATCCGATCAATTCTCGCAGCTATATCAGCTCTAACAAACTCAGAACAAACCATCAAATTCGATAAAACGCAAAATCCAAGGATCCGTCGATTCAATTCAGCTGAGGCAATTCTTCAGCGCGTTAAAGGAGCGTACACACGTACATACACGCACCAGCGTTATACATACAATCGCAGCGTAAACAAAGAGAGCAAGCACGAAGTATGAAAAGATATGTGTGTTTTGTGTATCTATACCTCTTGGTGCAGATTGAATCAGCGGAGACCTCTGGCTGCGTGCCCCTGTGGGTGTGAGTGCGTCGAGAGTTTTACTAGTACAAGAAAATCGACCTGAAAAGTTGCCAAAAGAAAATAAAATTTGTGAAGAATAATCTTATTTAGAGAATGAGACGTAAATTAAATTTCTAAAGACAATTATTCATATTCTTTCTTTTCTTTCCTTTTTTAAAGAATTTATTATTTAGGGATAAATATGAAAGGATGCTATAGAGTTCAATTCAAGCCGAATAACTCCGAATTCTTGCTAACAAGTTCGATTAAATGTACGATTTGACTTGTACGTAAAAGAACGAGACAAGTTTAATATTTCACGAGCCAAACCGAGCTAGTATTGTATTAAACAAACTCGATTTACTTAAGTAAATGAAAAAGTTGGGTTCGAAATTTCACGAGTCGAACCGAACTGTGTTTGAAATATATTCCTCTAACAGTTATATCTACACCTTGTGATAAGTTTAGATTAAATGTTCGTTATTATTTGTAAGTTGTAACTGGAATTAAAAATGAAAACTCTAATAAATTATGTAGTGTTTCAACAATTATATATTTTTAAATATACAGTTCACCTTTACAAAAGGAAACTAAACTCAAATATAAGATATTATGCACACATTGCTCACCAATGTATGCATGCCACATAAGCGGTATGCATATATTAACATGTGTCCACCATGAGTAGAGAAGCATTTCCTGCATATTATACTTAGTGATAGGTTTTTTTTTTTTTTGTTTATATTTTATTTAGCTTTATGTATAGCCACACTTGTAAGCTGTGTCGTATGTTATTCCTTAATTAATTTCAGTTATCTATACTTATATTAAAAGGTATCCCATTTATCAGATTTAGTATAAAGAAAAGTCAAAAGTAATTAATGTTTGCTGGAAATAGAATGACATTAATAGTTTGACATTAAAGGTTTGTTATGGGATAAAAATCAGAAACCGATTTTTTTACCTTTGCTGGAAAAGTCAAATGTAAGTATAGATTTGTTTTATTCCATAACATCGGTTTTAATAAAGCAGATTTAATCGATTTTAATAATTGCATAGAATTTCAAAGCTGTTATTTATTGTAAAAAAATTAAATTCTAAAAAAACATTTGTGTATATTTTGTAAAATATTTGTACAAAATGTTTTACTTTAAATTTATTTACATAATTTAAATTAATTACATTAATAAATAATATGAACATACATTAAATATTTTAATTACATAAAACAAAAAGAAGAAGAAGATTACATCTATAACTTATAATAATAATGACATTATACTACAATAAATTTTATAATGAAATAATATAAGTGTTATACGAGGAACAAGATTACGTAAAATTGTTATTTTTCTTATATCAATGAATAAATATATATAATGTAATCAAATTTATATTATTCTAAACATGTGAACGAGATAATATATTAAATTTACGGGCTAGCGCTACCAGACTCAGGTTTAATGTTCTGATAAAAAAAATGACGTTGATGAAAAGATGTAAAAAGATAAATGATCAAACTCTATTATTTTTTAGGACTGAACGGACAAGCCCTATGGTCCACTCATTTAATATTTCCCGTGAATTGCACGAGCTACTTAACGGACAAGTTCTGTGGAAATAACTCATTAATACTTATGTACATCGCACGGGCTACGTGCTAGTTGTAGCCTTTTTAACTTCAAGTGATAATTATTATGTGTTTGAAATTTGACAGCAGTGATCATATATTATTCCGTAATTAGCACTTAACTATTAAAAGTAGATGAGCTTAAAAAAATATTTATAAAGATGTATTAGGTCAACTTCAACATACCATTATTGTGTTGGGTGATCTGCTAATTTCTTTTTTGACTATTTAAAAGCTGTTTGTTTTTTCAATCATCTAATAACAACTATATATGTAGTTTTATGTAATTGCACAACATTAATCGAATTCAAAAAAAAAAAATATGTGTGATTGATTTTAGACTTATTTTGTAATTTTATTTCGAAACAAATTAGGGATCTGAAAATGAAATTAAAATGTTTGACACTTCATAATGTCTAATTTCATTTTTTGATAAATAGTCATTTGAAATTATTATCTATACTTATATAATAAGGTGTACCATTTACGAAATTTAGTAAGTTGAAAAGTCAATGCAATAAATGCATTACTATTTTGAGCAACATAATATAATATCATATCTATACTTATATAAAAGGAGATTCTATTTACTACATTTACTATCCAGAAAAGTCAATTGCATTAAATGCCATTACTATTTTGGTATTATAATATTTTATTTATTTAATTGATTTATTTATTTGTTTTATTTTAAAAAGGTAAGTATAATAAAAAGATTTTAATAATAAAAAAATCAAATACCAAATAAAAATGTACACTTTGACTTATTTGATTATATTTGGTATTTGATTATACCAAATATATTCCTATTTAGTATATACATTAAGTACTTACTAAAGTATTTATTTGTTTTATTTGTCAAAGTTAAGTATACATTTATTTATATTATCAAATCATAAAAAAATATTAAATCCATATTGAAAAAAAAAATCATATAATTTTATAACAATTCTACTACACTATTTAACAATATTTCTTTTTTATTATATAATAAAATAATAATTAATATTATATGGTGAACAACAATAAGTAAAACTGTTACTTTCTCTTATATCAAGAGATAAATTTATATGCTAAAATTAAATTTTTATTAGTATAAATATTTTAGTATGATAATATATTAATTATTTTACAAGCTAGCCCTATCATGCTCATATTTAATGTATTAAAAGATGTAGAAAAAAACTTATAATAACTCTATTGTTTTTTAGACTTAAACGTTGATTAAAAGAGGTAAAAATTTCTAATTTTTTAGACTTAAACGTTGATTAACACCATAGATTGAGAGTCTATATTTAGTAAAATTCCTAATTGTAATAAAAAAAATTAATTTTTGCTATATTTTAGAATATCTTTAAATTCATTATAAAAAAAAAAGAAAAAAAAAACTACAATGAAAAAAGCAAGTCAGCTATATATTGTACTCCTCAAATCACATTCACAATTTGACTACAAGGAAAAGAAACTCATTGATTAAAATATTATTTTGTCAGTAGTCTTAATGTACAAGAGACTTTAAGAATTCACTTGAATATTATAAAACTTTTATTGAACATTGTACAATTTTCTTGCGTATTATAAACTTTTATTGAATATTACATCTTATAATATAATATTCTCCAAATAAATATATCTCGTACTTCGCACGGGTCACGTATTATATATCTCGTACATTTTTCTTTATTCATGTATATAATTATAAGTCTGGATAAATAGCTTTAAAATTGTGCACCCCGTACATCGCACGGGCTCTGTACTAGTTTTTTATCCGAAATGGAGATCTAAAAAATCAAAATTAACTATTCTTATACAAAGTAGCTATCTATTTTTAGATATGTATCAAATATTTTGTACAATCACTAATTTAATTGGTAAACTAATTAATAATTGAATCGGATATTCACGATAACTTAATTATAATTTATTCGCTATCTATCTAATAATATCTAATAATATTGGAGAAAAGGTGAAAAATCGTGTGGTCAGTGATACACCTGGGTGAACGTTTGGATTGATAATATAAATGGGAAGAATTACGATGCAAAAGACAGCAACAAAACCAACGGGATTAGTCAAAAGCGTATGATTTGATTTAAAACTGTATTTGTCGTAATTTTATGATCCTTAAAAAAAGGCAACGCGTACGCCGAATTTGGGAGGACAAAGTTGTGTAGATGTTGCCACGCTACCACCGAGTTTGTTTGGTGGCCAGCCTTGTTTTCCGTCCCATTATTAACTATTAAGTAACTATAAGTCATACTACTTATTATAACAACCTTCTTTTCTTGTGGGACAAATTGGCCCCACCCTTCATCCAAAATTTAATTTTTCTCCATAGCTAACTAGTGCGTGGCCCGTGCGATGCACGGAAAAATAATATTACGATTTTATTATAAATTAAATATATAAATAACATTAATCATAATTTATTCATTATTTTTAAATTAAACCGGGTTGCACACAGTCCGACCGGATGGATCAGGAACCGGTTTATAACCAGTCTAGTTCGCTTGAATAAAATATTTGTTCTGGAATCCGTCAACACCAGTCGGTTGGACTGGTAGGATCAATACGATTTTCTAAATAAATTTTGTTGTATTTAAAATTATTTTAAATAAAATTACATATTTAAATAAAATAGAGATTTATATATTATTTATCAATTAGTTTAAAACATTTGAATTTATAAATTGTTTAGATATCTAAGTAACGCATTTTATTTAAATTTATTACAAAAATACTATATATATATATATATTAAAATGTTTATAAATTAAAATCTGAACAAACCACAAATGATTTAATAAAATAGCTTGATCGTTTCGATGACGGTCCAGTTCTGAAAATCTTATATTTACTGTACATTAATAAAAATTATAATAAAATATTATTTAATTCACATAAATATTAACAAAATGATATATAAATATTCATAAATCATTAAACATGTTGTCATAAAAGTATTGTTAATACGATTATTTGAAGTTTGGACTACATCACATTCACGTAATAACATATTTTCAATATAAAACTTATATTTAGGTTCAATAATCGATTTGATGTGGTCGAACTGATACATAACTTAGTCACCTGGGACCAACCAAGTTGTGTCAAATTTTTTGACTATTTTAATTATCACTGAAAAGTAATTCAATCAACCTGGGCAGTACCCTAATTCAATCACCCGATTGATCCGAAGAAATTTTCTTATTTTCTTTAAATATATTTAATTTTATGAAATAAAAATATTTTATGACATATAATAAATGTCTAGGTATATTAAGATTATATATTATATATCTAAAGATGAATTAATTATTTTTACTTTATGCATATTAATTAAAAATAAACATAGTAATTTTAAAAAAATTAAGATTAATTGATTGATTATGCAATTTAAATAATATTTTTTGCGTTCAATATGTTTTTTTAACGGCACAAATATAAAATCGAGATTCTAAAACTTTTGTTATATTTTGAATTGAGGTTTTATAAATATAAAGACCGAGATTTTAATGTTGTTCGTTGTTTCTAAGAAAAAAAAAAGTAAAAATAAAAACAAACACATTTAATAAATCTTAACTGGATTTTTTAAATAATAAAATAAACTAAAACCCGAAATTTAAGGTAACATTTAATGTTGTATGATTTTTAAAGAAAAAAAATAAGAAAAGTAATAAAACTTTCTATATATAGGCTGCATTAAATTCTGACTTATTTTTTTGTTACTATTTTTGGTAAATGTTAATTCTTATTATATATATATAGATTTGACTCATGTACAGGTATCATATGATTAGATGGTGCAAGTTCGTATGCACGTAGGAGTAAGAAAGTGAACTATATAAGGCCTTGGCAAAATCTGTTAAGGAGGTCGATTAAATATAAATTTTTATTGTTAAATCATTACGAGAGAGTATGTTGAGTACGTAAAACCTTTTTAAACATAGAAATTAAAAGCCGAAACGACGAATAAACAAATTCGTCTTCAGATAGTGTCTTCCTACTTCTCAGAACTCTTTCATAGCAAATCGGTTGAGCGCACGATGTATAGTTTGGGATTAAAAGTATGGGGCTCCCTCCTAAACCTACCAACACTAGTTACACTATACCCGAAACTACTAACTATTCTCTGGCCACAATCAGGACTTAGAAACATGTGTTCGGATCCCTCCTAGCTCAAAATTACTTAATCCCTAAGTACTCCAAGAGTTACGAGTGGAAACAAGAACAACTCTTCAGTAATGTAAGAACACAACTAATCTAAGAAAATGTAAAACTAAAACTCTCGAACTCTCAGAGACTCTCTTGAACGGAATGCTCAATGTATATACGAACTCCAAGATGGTAAGGAGCCTTCACATTCCCATGTCTTCAGCATCCTTGCATATGAAGTAAATTTCCTTCCATTTGATGGTTCTGTGATAGGATGATGGGGGTAATTACAAGGTTGAGCTGATCAATGATGGCATGGAAGAGTTCTATGTGGAACTTCCTCGGCTAAAGAAAGTAATATATCCCTGGCATTTATTGCCTCTATCATTTGATGGTCTATTTTATTCTTTTTCGTATGGGCTTGGTATTTTGTTTCATCTGCTTTCCTTTCTTTTTTTTAGCTTTATTTTGAGGTTAGCTTTCGGGTGATTTGATTATCATTTGCAGTTCATAGCTCAAATGAAAATTAGTTGTGTACTAAGATAATACATTGTTTTTTAGCTTGCATTCTTGCCAAAAGTCTGATAAATTATAATTTAGAACTTTGGTATACGGACTGTTTCTTTTGGAGTGTGTTGCATGAGTCATGTATGTAGGGTATAAAATGGATTTTGCCCTCTTTTTGGAATTTCGGATAATTAGTATGAAATGATACAAAAAATCAAGAAATATTTCTTTCTTCGATTTCTTCATAAACTACTAAAAGAAATCGTTAGGTATTAAAATTTAATTCACAAGATTATTTATAAAGAAACTAATAAGACCCTCCACAGTCTGCATACCAAGTTATAATTTAGAACTTTGGTATGCAGATTGTTTCTCCACAACACCATTTTGTTGCAGAGAATAGACACAGTTGGTCTCATGCTGTATCCCCTTTGAGCCAAAGAGTTCAGTTAGTTCCTTTCCCAAGAACTCTCTCCCATTATCTGATCTCACCTTCAGTCCAAACTGGTGTTTTTTTTTTTTTTTTTTTTGTGCCATGATTAAACCCCCTTATTAATTTCACAGCCTGAGGCTTATGCACCATAAAAAACCTCCAAGTACCACAACTATAGGTATCAATTACAATGAGAAAATAAGGACTATTAGTCAGGCACTCCTGCGTACAAGGTCCCTATATATCAATATGAATTATTAGTTCAAAATAGACCGAAGTTTGTGTACTGCTTCTTAAAAAATGTTGCTTCGATTTGAAGCACACATCACAAAATCTTTCTGGAGAAAATCTAAATATTTTTTGGTTATGAAAGATGCACGCCCTAATTAAACATTTATATCAATCTCCCAAAGTGAGGTTGCAAAGGACCACTCTCTCAACTTATTGACTTTTCTTCTTGTAAACATAGAGATTCCCTATTACTTCACAATTCTCACATATTTGTACAATATCTCCATTCTTTAGAGTGCAATGAGATTTCGTAAACACCCAAATGAGTTCGTTCTATCACCATAGGTATATAAACCTATATGTTGTAAGCATGACTCTTTCCTTGTTGTTTCTTCAAGTACGGCACTCCATATATTTTAAAACATGTGGTGATAGTATGACCACTCATCCTTTTCCACCTTGACCACTTTTTCCTTGAACAAATGATCCTCTTCTATAGTTATCTGTTTTTGTAATCATAGCAGCGCTCTCCATTCTATTCCCAAAATCATTATGCACTGTTCTTTACCTCTCAACAGTTAAGATCAATGAATATGCTTTGTTGACTATTGGCAGAGGATCTATAAGCATGATTTGATTCTTTATATTATCATAAATGTCATTGAGCCTCATCAAAAAAATGTATATATTAATTTGGTTTCTGATTCATGTTGTGCTATTACCTTATCATGCACAGGATCCACACATGCATATTCATCCCATATTTTTTTTATCGCCTATTGAAGTATTCCATTACTATGCTATTTCCTTGAACCAAATTGGAGATCTCCCTCTGTATTTTATACTTCATTGGCCCATCATTCTCACCAAATCATTAACATATACCATCCCACAGTTCCTTAGCACTATCTGCATATATGAACGACTCAGTTATGCCTTCAGATAGAGAATTAAGGAGTAATGTCAATTACTTGTTCCTTTTATCAAAGAATTAACACTATCAGAAATCAAGCAAT